CATTTTTATCATTCCTCTCTCCCCCTTCTAAAAATGAATTCTTGTCTATTTATTAATTATTTCTTGTTTATTTATTATTAGAATTTTTGAAGTTATACTTCTTTTCGCGCGTATTGAAAAGTGAAGTTAAATGCGATCGAAAAATCAACACCACGAAGTTGTCGATAWTTACGATGCGCATGCGCAGACAAATTAAAGTTATTTTTGAAGTTATTGAGGTTATATTCGTTTTGATACGCTAAAGAAGTATTTCTATATTAATCTTAATCACGTGTAAAATAAAAGAAAGAAAAAGAATTTCATTAGTTTTTCTTTGTTTTTATGGAACATAATGCAAAAGAAAAAAGATAATCATGCATTGTGTTTCTAACCAAACCTTTTTATCGACAATTTTTCAACCTAACCTAACTTTTTCGAGAACGTGAATAAAAATTCCCTTCGTATTTATTATCATTCCTCCTCCACCCCGTACCCTCTCCTTAAAATAAATTCTTGTTTATTTATTAATTATTTCTCCGATCAAATTTTAATTAATTAATTTTACAAATTATTCACAAAACACCACGAAGTTGTCGATAATTACGATGCGCATGCGCAGACAAATTGAAGTAATTTTTGAGGTTATTGAGGTTATATTCGTTTTGATACGCTAAAGAAGTATTTCTATATTAATCTTAATCACGTGTTAAAATAAAAGAAAGAAAAACGAATGAAATTCTTTTTTATGGAACATAAAGTAAAAGAATAAAAAAAAAAGAATCATACATTAAGTTTCAGTATGCATATATGTGTGAATATATATTTGTACGTGTCACCCACTGTGTATAATCGTTAGGGCCATTCGTATAGTAATAAATCGACATCATTCGCGTGACGATCTCGGTCAAGATCAATCTATCGATTATACAATTTCAAAAGGGAACGTACAAAAGCTAAAGACATTATAAATAGATGATGATTCAAAGATCGTTAATATGCATTAGTATATGTGCTAATAATTACTATTACGTAAAATTAACAACCCAATTCAAAAATTACAAAATATTCGTTGTATGTGATTTTATATTTGTTATTAATTTAATTAACATAATTATCATATGCATAATTTATTAATATTAAAGTATATATTATATATAAATGTGTGTAATATTAAATTATTTAATTATATAAAATAAATCATCATTCTTTTTTGGCATTTGATCATTTATTATGTAATTAAAGACACATATATGAATACATATATACTTGTATGATATATTAAATTGATTTGAAAACTTTGACATCGTGAAAGAAATGACGAGTCAGTGAAATTTATTCGATTCGTTGACAGGGTTGACAAATGTTTCAATCATACGAGATCACACATTTATAAATCAAATAATAATTTGAATTTACTTTACTTTTTTCTGATAGCAGAATATCTTCTTCTTTTTTTAGCATCGTAAAAATAATATTCTTCTATTTCGGATATAATCATAATAATTATACGTTCCTAATAATATCCCTGTTTTTTTCTCAAATACTTTTTGAAAATTTATCGGAAATAGGTGTTCGTGAGAAAAAAAAACAAAAAAATTACAAAAATAAACACTCAGCTTTTACGATTTCACGATGTAATATTATTCGACGTTTTATCGGCAATCTTTTATTGTTGATTTTCTATAATTACGAATAAATCATTCCCCGTGAAACAAAAATCATCGTAATTTCATTTAATTTGACCCCCCTTTTTAATGAATATTCAAATTTTAAATGTACAAAAACTACTTGACCACCTGACGTTTGTAAAAAAAAAAGTATATGGAAACAAAGGTACAACGCGTGCATTTTAAATATTATACTAATTAAAATGTAACATATTAAACGCGTTAACGAGAACAGAACTTTCAATTATATGTTTTAACTAAAACGTTTGTATATTACAATTGATGAAAAAGAAAAAAAAAAACCACAACAAAAATATAATCATGCCAATACAAAATTATTACAAAATCCTATAAGGATGAACGTGTTAAACTTATGCACACACACATCAAACTTTTGTGTTTAATTATTTAAAATAAATATATATATACATATATTAAAAAAAGATTTCGTCGAATTTTGTTGAATACGCAAGTTTGACTTTCAAACAAATTTGTTTGTGAGAAAATACAAAGGTGAATACACAATAATCGAGAAAAAGCAAACAAATCTTGTAAATTGTCATCGAAAAATCATAACGAGATGACAAGAATACAAATATTCCAAAATGAATCATCGAATGAATCATCGAATGAATTATGGAATGAATTATTCGAAAAGAAATCACCGATAGAATTTATTTGATATACTATTCGAAGTGAGAATATTAGGATCACGTATAAAAGAAAATCTTTATATCCAAAACTAACGATTTCACGTGACACTCGTATATCAAGAAGGGAAACTTCTGTTGGCCCGTTTGAGATTAGGATCGGATCAACATATATCGTATTATAGGACCTAAAGAAAAAGAGAAACCTTCTTCCTCCTCCTCCTATTTTTTTTTCCTTTCCTCTGTCTTTCTTCTACTTCTATTTTATGTTGTTTTTTTTGTTCTTCTGTTCCTATACCATACTTGCAAGCCCTATTCGATCCTCGAAGTATAAATCTAATTCGTAAGGGTTCGATAGTAAAGCTCGTATTTTCTGTGAGTTTATATCCATACGTAACTGTTAGACGAGAAAGAAAAAAAGAAAAAAAGTATAAAGAGGAAAAAGAAGAAGAAGAATAAGTTGCAGAAGTTCAAATTCGATTGAAAAAAAAAAAAAGAAAACATATCTTTGAGGAACCGATAAACGAGGAGACGAACATTTCGTATTCCACTAACATCTTCTAGAAAAGATAACTTTCCACGTATCATCTTGATTTTCTATCGGATACTTTGAACAGTTTTTCGAACGAGTTT